ACACCCAGGCGGTGTGGCCCCATGGCCGCCACACTCAGCACACCGAGACCCCCCAGTGGGGGTGCCCGCATGCGTCCGCCACACCCAGCACAGCGCTTCGTGGCCCCATAGGGAGCTCCACCGAAGGACCCAGTGGGGGTGCCCGCATGCGTCCGCCACACCCAGCACAGCGCTTCGTGGCCCCATAGGGAGCTCCACCGAAGGCCCCAGTGGGGGTGCCCGCATGCGTCCGCCAACCCCAGCACAGCGCTTCGTGGCCCCATAGGGAGCTCCACCGAGGGCCCCAGTGGGGGTGCCCGCATGCGTCCGCCACACCCAGCACAGCGCTTCGTGGGCCCATAGGGAGCTCCACCGAAGGCCCCAGTGGGGTGCCCGCATGCGTCCGGCACACCCAGCACGGCGTTCGTGGCCCTGGGGGAGCTCCACCGAGGGCCCCAGTGGGGGTGCCCGCATGCGTCCACCACACCCAGCATAGCGTTTCGTGGCCCCATAGGGAGCTCCACCGAAGGCCCCAGTGGGGGTGCCCGCATGTGTCCGCCACACCCAGCACAGCGTTTCGTGGCCCCATAGGGAGCTCCACCGAAGGCCCCATGGGGGTGCCCGCATGCGTCCGCCACACCCAGCACAGCGTTTCGTGGCCCCATGGGGAGCTCCACCGAAGGCCCCAGTAGGGGTGCCCGCATGCGCCCGCCACACCGAGCACAGCGTTTCGTGGCCCCATAGGGAGCTCCACCGAGGGCCCCAGTGGGGATGCCCGCATGCGTCCGCCACACCCAGCACAGCGTTTCGTGGCCCCACAGGGAGCTCCTCCGAAGGCCCCAGTCGGGGTGCCCGCATGCGTCCGCCACACCCAGCACAGCGCTTCGTGGCCCCATAGGGAGCTCCACCGAAGGCCCCAGTGGGGGTGCCCGCACGCGTCCGCCACACCCATTACGGCGCGCCCCTCACGCGTGTCGTGTCCCACCGATAACGGCACCCACAATGCGTTACTCACAATTGAATATGGTTGGGTCCTTCGCCAGGATAGCTTTTTCGTTGGCAATTTTTTGTTTTTCGTCCAAAATCCGCCTGTAGAGGGGCTTGCCCGACCTGAACATAAGGGAACGAACCATGGCAGGAACATGAGAACCCGGAGGTCCGCGCGGATTTCTTGGATCCGCGCTGGGGCCCCTTGGCGGCGCCTCCGGCGCAGCCCCTGGCGCGGTTCGCGCGCCAGGGGAGGGGGTCCAGCGCAGGTCCGAGAAATCCGCGCGGACCTCCGAGTCTTTATGTTCGTGCCATTTTTCGTTCCCCTATCACAGTCACCCAGCATAGTAAGCACGAGCGACTTTCGAAGGCTACCCTGTCATCCTTCCCTTTCGGCCCAGCCTTGGCCGTTTCCGCTGGCCGCGCCCCGCTCGCAACGTGTCGGCACGGCCTTCCAAGGCCCCTGCATCCTCATCGTGCGTGCTTGTTCTGCGGGTCGACTGCATCGCCATGAGAGGGCGGTCTGAGCCCGGGTGGGGAGGAGGAGAGGGGGCGAGGGGGAGGAGGAGGAGGAGGAGGAGGAGGAGGAGGAGGAGGAGGAGGAGGAGGAGGAGGAGGAGGAGGAGGAGGAGGAGCTGACTGCAGTGATGGATGGCCCTCGGGGTTTCTGTCGGCTCTGTCTGTGCGGTCGGTCCTGGCGGTGGGCTTCCTTCTGGATCCTGGGTCTCCGTCCCTCGTCCGGTGTTTTGTCGGTCCTTTGCGTGCCCCGTCGTCGGTTGTTCGGCGCTCTTTCCAATGGAGCCGAGGCCAGGCGTCAGCCCACGTCAAGCACAGAATCCCTCCTCCCTCCTCTCTCCCTCCCTCTTCCTGTCTCCCTCTTCCTCCCTCCTCCCTCCCTCCTCCAGGGCAGGGGCATCGGGAGCAGAGGGGGGGGGGCGAGGAAGAGAAGGAGGGCAGAGGAAGTCAAGAGGGAACATCACGGTGACCACGAGGGGGAGGCGCAGGAATCTCGGGGCCAGGGGGCGAGCAAGAGCGGCAGGATGAGGAGGTTGGTTGTGGTTGGGACGGAGTGGAGAAGAAGTGAGGAGGAGGAGGAGGAGGAGAAGGAGGAGAGGAGGAGGATGAGCAGCAGGAGCAGGAGCAGGAGCAGGAGAACAAAACGGATGAGGAACCTGTGCGGAGGCTTCTGAATGTCCCGGAAAGGATCCCTCGAACCGCCCCCGCCCTACCCGTCATTCGTCGGCGAAGGGATCGGTGTTCGATGCCGTGACAGCAGATCGAAACGTGAGCACATCAGAGCCCTCGCGTTTGCCCAGCTCGCATCCTCTCGGAAGGAGGAGCGGAGGAGTGCGTGGAGAGGAGAGGCCCCCAGACTCCGCGGGCCCCCACCCCCCCCCAGCGAGGCCGAAAACGCTGGTCCACCGCGATTCTGCCCCTCCTCTGCCCGTCTCCTCTTTTTCTGGTCCTGCGCGTCCCTGCAATCCTCCTCCACTCCCTCCAGCCTCCATCATCATCATCATCATCATCATCATCATCATCATCATCATCATCATCATCATCATCATCATCATCATCATCATCATCATCATCATCACCATCACCATCATCATCATCATCATCATCATCATCATCATCATCATCCTCATCCTCATCATCTCATCATCATCATCAGCAGCATCTCATCATCATCAGCATCATCATCATCATCAGCACCATCAGCATCATCATCTTCATCATCATCATCATCATCACCATCACCATCACCACCAGCATCAGCATCAGCATCATCAGCATCATCAGCATCAGCATCATCATCATGAGCAGCAGCAGCATGACCATTACCACCACAACCACCATCACGACCATAACCGTCATCATCATCACCTCATCATCATCACCATCATCAGCATCATCATCATAAGCATCATAATCATCAGAATCAGCACAATCATCATAATCATCATTATCACTATACGCATCGTCATCGTCATCATGATCATCGTCATCATCGTCATAGCCATCGTCATTATCGTCACCATCATCACCGTCGTCTTTGTCAAATTTACCATGAGTAGCATAACCATCATCATCATCATCATCATCATCAGCATTACCGCCATGCTTATCGTTACAATCATCATGGTCATCATCAGCATCATCCGCATCGTCTTCGCCATAGTCATCATTCTCATCATTATAGTTATCATCGCCGTTGGCATCATCATCATCATCATCATTTGGCCATCATCGTCATTCGCATCATCATCACCATCGTCGCCATCATCATCATCAGCATCATCATCATCTCGATCGTCATCGTCATCACCACCACCATCATCGTCATCGTCATCAGTATCACCTTCATTGGCATCATATCCATCATCGTCAACATCACCATCATCAGCATCATTGTCATCATCATCGTCACCAGCGTCGTCATCACCAGCATCGCCATCAGCATCTTCATGGTCATACGCATCATCCTCGGCATCATCATCAGTACTAGTCACCATCATCAGAATCGTCATCCTCACCATCATCGTCACCATCATCGCCATCGTCATTGCCATCGTCATCGTCATTGTCATCATCCTCATCATTCTCATCAGCATAGTTATCGTCATTTGCATCAACCTCATCGCCTGCGCCATTCGCATTATCATCGGCATTGCCATCAATGTCATGGTTATTATCATCATCGCCACCATCAGCAGTATCATCATGGTCATCACCATCGTCATAAGCATCGGCATCACTACAGTACCATCATCAGCATCTTCGTCGCCTTCATCATCTTCATCGTCTCGAGAATCATCGTCATCGTCGTCATCATCATAAACGTCATCGTCATCACCGTCAGCATCATCATCAACAGCAGCATCACCATCATCATACGCATAATCATTATCATCATCATTGCGCAGTCAACACTGATAATAAGAGTAAAGCGTCGTTCCAACATTTCGCTTGCAGCCCTTCGTTTTGGCCTTTTCTTGGCCATTTTCGCTGGCCACGCTCCGCTCGAACAGTGTCGACACGGCCTTCAAGGCCCCGTAATTTCACTGTTTATGTTAATTATACCTTCTGCATCCTCCTCCATCCCCCCCGATCACCGGCTCCCCCTCTGCACTGCCTCCTCCACCATTACGACCGCCTCCTCCATCTTCTTTTGCTTTGGGCGGGCTTCAATTCGCATGTTTTGCAGCGCGTCTGGGGAACATTCAGATGGTAAACCCGGCATGGGCTCAGTGGCCTAATTCAGCCAGGTAGGCGCAGCAAGAAGTACGCCAACATACTTGGGAAAAGCAAGCAAAAACATGGTGCGGTGACCCTCTAGGGTGGCGAGTATGCGGCTACCTGGTCAGAGATGGGGTTCATGGAAGTGACTGCGATCCGCAAGTAAGCTCACACATCATGAACGTAAGAAACAATGAGGAGTTAGGTGGGAGGAGTTACCCCCCTGGCTTAGCGCGGGTCCTCCTCTTCCTCTACCCCCTCCCCTTTACCAGGGTCCTGCTTGTCTCCCTGCCCGGCCTGGTCCAATCCAGGTCCGCTAAAGCGATTTCGGGTGAAGTCGCTCGCCAGAACGGCCGTCATTTACCTCTCCATAAACCCGCCCCCACTCCTCCGCCCCACCCGTCTCCCCCGAGGATGAGGAGGATGAGAATGATAATGATGGTGATGATGATGATGATGATGAGGAGGAGGAGGAGGACGATGATCATGCTGATGACGAGGAGGAGGAGGAGGAGGAGGAGGAGGAGGAGGAGGAGGAGGAGGAGGAGGAGGAGGGGAAGGAGGAGGAGGGGGAGGAGATGTGAGGAGGAGGAGGAGGAGGAGGAGGAGGAGGAGGAGGAGGAGGAGGAGGGGGAAGAAGAGGGCGAGGAGGAGGTGGAGGAGGACGACGCTGAGGAGGAGGAGGAGGAGGGAGGAGCATGAGGAGGCCCCCGCCCCAGGGCACGAGGAGGCAGTGGTGAGAGGAGGGGACGGCGCGGCCCGCAGCGCACGCCCCGCGCCCCCCTCGGCGCCGGCAGGGGCGGGCACAAGCGCCTGGAGGGGCTTCGGGCGATCCTCAAGCGGAAGCAGGAGAAGCAGGCGAGGGCCCCGGCCGCGCGTCGGCGACGCTGGCGGCGAGGGCGAGGGCGGCGGCGCCGTCGCCGTCGGCGCCCGCGTCTTCGTCGCTGTCCTCGTCGTCGATTGCCGTCTGTCGTGAGCCGACGCCGCCGTCGTCGCCGTCGTCGCTGCCGTCTCTGGCCGTCGGTGGCGTCGTCGTTGATGGGCCTGTCTTCCACCACCACCACCATAAGTTGGAGTGGGAGGGGGTTCTCTTACTCCTCCTTCTCCTCCTCCTCCTCCTCCTCCTCCTCCTCCTCCTCATCCCCCACCTCCTTCCCCCCTCCAACTTATGGTGGTGGTGGTGGAAAACAGGCCCATCAGTCGTGCCCCACCTCGCCGTCCTCTTCGTTGCTGCCGCTGCCGTGGTCGTCGTGCACTCGGTTCCGCGCGTCCGTCCTCTGCCACTGCGAGCACACCTGCCCCACGGTGCAGGCCCCCCCCCCTGGCAGCGCCCGTGCCCGCCCCACCAGCAGGGGAGGGGTGCGGGCGCCCCCCGGGGGGAGCGCAGAAGGGGCCGGCCGAAGCCTGGTTGGTTCTGCCGCCCCCCCCGCCCCTGCTCTCCACGCGGAGGGAGCCACTCATACCCAGACTCACTCACATTCTCACTCGCTCTGTCTAGCTCTCACTACACGCGCACCCACACACACACTCACGCATGCGCTGCGCACCACACACTCAGCTCAGTCCTACTCAGACGCAGAAGCACTGACTGCTCACCTTCAGATCATGGTCGCTCACATCCACGCTCACATTCGAACGCGCTCATACGCAGGCTCGCTCATACTCAGAGCTCGAATGCCGAATGCACATTCCAATCCATGCTCAGACTTCGTGGTCATCGCACTGCAGCCAGGACCTCCCAACGGGGAGACGACCTAGGTTGTTCCATCCACCCGTTCGCGTCCAGATTTGTGTGACCTCTCATGCGCCACTCCCGCTTGCGGCTGTGGACGCGTCTCTTTTTACAGCCCTGACAACCGCGATGTAGCATGCATGTATGGCTTTTGGACCACCCTAGGGAGAGCCGACCGGGGGTGTTGCACGGTCCCTTTCGCGGCCAGATGGATGGGACCTGTCTAGCGGCACGGCCGTTTGCGGCTGTAGACGCGTCGCTATTTAGCCGTATGACCACCGCGTTGTAGCAGGCAGTGCGTTTGGGCCTCCCAGGTGAGCCGCCAGTGGGGATGACACGGGCCCGCTCGCGTCCGCATTGTGGGGATATCTCGGGCGAAGCGCCCGTTCTCGGCTCTCGGCGCGTCTCTCTTCAGACTCCCACGATCGCCGCGATGTAGCTTTGCGTGGCATTCGAACCATCGAAGGGGGAACCGCCACGGGGTATGGCGTGGGCCTGTTGGCGACCAGATTAGTGGGACCTCGCGAGTAGAGTGGCCGTTTGTGGTTCTGGGCACGTCTCTTTTGGCAACCCCAATCTCACCGCGATAAGGCATAGACATCAGTATTTTGAGTTTGGTAGTGCCGTTCCGTGGCGCGGAACGCCGTGTTGAATACTGTTACACGGGCCCGTCCTGGTTTGTTGCAGCGTTGGGGTCAGCACGTGTGAGAGAGGCGAGCAGTGAAAGCGGGCCATTCCGTTGTTCACTGAGATGTTTGTTGCGAAGTTGGAGCCCAACATCGACGGATACTCACTGAATTGCAGGATGCAAAGTCGGAGCCCAAGGCAATACCTTTACTACAATTCCGAGCGAAGCGAGTGACAGAACACAAAGGTCACCGCCGCGATGAACCAGGCATGGCACTCTGGCCCTCAAAGGGAAGCTCCCAAAGGGGCTGGACACGAGCCCGTTCACGCCCAGATCGGTGGTACCTCTCAAGTAGAATGGCCAGTTGTAGCTCTAGGGGGCGGTTCTTCCTTCCGTAGCCTCATGGTCACCGCGATGTAGCGGGCACAGATCACCCACGCTTCGACTGCCCATGATCAGAGACTCATAGAACATGCCAAAACATGAAACTCACTTATTGGAGTCTCCGCGTCGATGAAACCACTGGCGCCCGCTTCCGCGCGTAGCAATTGACGTTTGGACATGTGTGGGCAGAAGTCGCCCTAATCAGGCCAATTGCCGCTTGATCCAATTCAACTAATTCGTTTGATCTGGCTCAGTCTTGGGTCCATTCTAGTTTAATCTGGCCTTGTGGCCCTTTCAATCTGCTGCAGAGCCCCCAATCGTTCCCACGACAGCCTCCCAAGAGCTGCTCGTGTGACTTTGCTCCGGCCCCGTTCAGGAGGCCTCCGGCCAGCCATCCTGCGGCCAGACACCTGGGCCCCTTCCCTGGGACTAGCTTTTCGTCCCTGCTCCTTCCGTGACGGCCTCCAGGGCACCAGAGGCGGAAAATTCAAAGCAACATTTATGAGCGACGCTGGAAAGCGGGGCCGACTGCGGCGACACCCGCGCGCGAGCTTCCCGCGCGAGGTCGCGCGGAGGCGCCCGTTCCTCCTCACAGTGTGCCGCGCCAGCGGCCCGCGTACGCCGCGGCGTGAGGTCGTTTTTGCATCGCTCGTCAGACCCGTCTTCAGAGCCCCGAATCATCAGGGGTAACTCGGGTCAGGGCTAACTCGGGTTCGTTTTTCGGGATTCCGAACCCGGGTTACCCCGGGCCCGAGTTACCCCGGATAACTCGGGCGCCCAACGTCTCCTTTTGTGGAGCTGCGGTCACTGCCCTCAAGGGGTCGCACCGCCCCGTTGGGTCACGGGGCCGTCGCGAGGTCACACCAGCCCCGTTGGGCGGATCGCACGACATGCCCCGCCTGCGCGGGTGTGTGTCTGCCCGCCTACACAGTTGTTTCGCGACGGTTGCCTTGGGCAGCCGTGTTTCCGCGTGTGGTCGCCGGGCGCGCTGTTTGTCATCCTCGTTCCTCCTCTTCCTCCTCTTTCTTCATGCTTTTCTCCTGTGCTCCCTCTAGAAGGTTGAAAAAAGCGTGACCGCCTAGAGTTGGCAACGCTACATAATGGACGCGGCCATGTCGTGATTTTTGTTCGCGCCCCGCCTCGATCACCACCCACCGAACCACCCCAAGCCAACCCGAAGGCGCCAACCTGCCCTTCACTCCCAGTGGGGGGCGTCGGGGCACATTGAACAAAAACCATGTGCGCTCGTACCCCCCACCCCAACCTAGGATTTGTGCCTTCGGGTTCGGTCTAGGTGGTCTGGTAGGTAACCGCATGCCGATGAGAATAAAGTGACCCCCCCCTTAAGTCGTTAGAGTTTTTTATCGTCGACCAATAAGAGTTTGGTCGGGGGCGCGGGGGCGCGGAGGCCGAACTGCATTATCACGGGAAAAGTTCGCCATCGAAGTTACTTCCTTCTTATGTTGAGATAACAACATCAAGCGAAGCGAACACGTTGTTTCAGGATGTCTCAAGCGAAACCAATGTCCTTCTGTCTCTTTGTAGTTCTTTCTGTCTCTCTTTCTTTCTTTATCTGTCTCTCTTTCTCTCTCTCTCTCTCTCTGTCTCTCTATCTCTTTCTCCTTCCTGGCCTCTCTGTCTCTCTCTCTCTGTCTCTCTATCTCTTTCTCCTCCTCCTCCCCCTGGCGCCCTGAACTTGTTTTATCGCTGGGGTTGATTATCCAGGGAAAACGAGGCACGTGAGCTACCCTACACGAGCACTTAATTTTTTTTCATAAAGCGCTTGTAAATAAAATCTAATACATTTGAATATTCAGATTTGTTGTTTTCTCCTCCTTTCCTCTTCTCTTTATCCTTTTCATTTATTATCGAGGGATTTGTCGAGGATGTCTCCAGCGAGATAAGCCATTGTTGAGGATATTTCTATGAAGACTAAACGCCAAGGATGTCTCAAAACGTGCTCGGCTTGGTCTCCTCTTGATCATCTCTTACTTCGAGATTATGCTGAGGTCTGGTGGGCTACTTTGGTTATCTCCCCCTGGACCCCGAACTTTATTATCCCCTAGTGTTTATTCTCGAAGGGATTCGGTTACTCACTCGGGGCCTCGCCCCTTCGCTTGGTATGCCTCGGACGTGTGCACCGTTTCTCGGCGGGGATTATTGGGGAGCATCCTGGATCATCTTGCGAAAAAAAAAAAAGCACGCACGAAACCGAACAAAAAACACGGGGAATGAACGTCCGAGCGATGGCCCTTGCGGCGCGCGAGCGCGCCAACCCGTCGGGCGCCCCGTCGGGCGCGATATCTCGTGGAGATCGGCGGCGGGCCCCGCCAGCCCGCCGCCGCCGCGCGGCGGGCAGCGGCGTTGGAGGAGCGAGGCGGAATGAGGGGGGGGGGAGGAGGCAGAGGAGGAGGGAGGGGGGGAAGCAAGGTGAGGAGGAGGAAGGGGGAGGCAGGAGGAGGAGGGGAAGGAGGGTGAGAAGGGGGAGGAGGGAGGGAGGAGGAGGGAGGGAGGAGGGGGGAAGAAGGATGCAGGAGGAGCAGGCCGAGCAGCGGGAGCAGCAGGAGGAGCAGGAGCAGGACGAGGCGGGCGGGGAGGCTCAGGGCGAAGCCAGAGCAGCGGCAGCGGCATGACACCGACGACGACGACGACGACGACGACGACGACGACGACGACGACGACGACGACGACGACGACGACGACGACGACGACGGGGGGGGGTGAGCTCCTCCTCCTTCTCCACCTCCGCCTCCATCCCTTTCCCTTGTAGATAACTCCTCCCTGTCGCACCCTGGGGCCGGTCGAAAGGGCGGGCCGTGCGCTGCGTTTCGCTTGAGCTTTTTTTCACCATACTTATGAACCTGAAGCTTTTCACATATGGACGGCGGGTGGTTTTCAAATTGAGGCTCTCGCCCTAGCGCCGCACACATTCGTTGGAAAACACCTGCAATAGCTTCACGGATTGAGGACCAGTTGTTTTTAAATTGTGGTTCTCGGTTTTAGCGCCGCGCACATTCTTGCTAGAACATTGCAAGAGTTTCGCGGGTTGACGGCGTTCCGTTTTCAACATGTAGTTTTCGCTTTATCACCGCGCGCAGTCGATCAAAAAGAAATGCAAGAGCTTCGTATATTGAGGGCGGGTGGTTTTCAAAATGTGGCTGCTCTAGCCCCGCGCACATTCGTTTTACACATTTGCAAGCGTTTCACGGATTGAGGGCGGCTCGTTTTCAAAATGTGGCTCTCGCTCTTAGCGCCGCTCACATTCGCTTGAAATTGCCAGATCTTCACGGGTTGATGGCGAGCTGATGTTCAAATTGTGGTTATCGTTTCAGGCCGCGCACAGTCATTCAAAACCAAAAGCACGAGTTTCGCAGATTGAGGGCGGGTGGTTTTCAAAATGTGGCTCTCTCCTAAGCGCCGTGCACACACATTTGAAACATTCGCAAGAGCTTCACGGATTGAGGGCGAGTGGTATTCAACATGTGGCTCTCGTTTACGCGCCGCGCACATTCGGTTGAAACGCTTGCCAGCGTTTGACGGAGTGAGGGCGTCCCGTTTTTAAGTTGTGGTTCTCCATCTAGCGCCGCACAAGTTCGTTGTAAACATTTGTAAGAGTTTCACGGATTCCCATGGCCAACCTACCAGAAATAGTGTTCGGGAGGGAGTCCGGATTGTGAAGGCGCAACAGTTACGTCGATTCGCGGTGTCGAAGTCCCAGGAATGGCGTTCTGTCGCGGTTCAGGATCGTCATGACGCAACAGTCAGGTTGATCCGCGGCGTTGGAGTCCCGAGAACCGTGTTTCGGCATGCTTCAGGGTCTTAAAACGGTTGTCTCCCAACGATGCAGTTCCCTTGGTGGAAATGAACCTTTGTATGGCGCCTGCGAAGAGGGAGCTTGGAGGGAGGGTTTATTCCAACATTGTTGGTGGGTCTTGGGTTTACGCTGGTTTTCCTCCTGCTCCTCGTCCTGCTGCTCCTGTTGCTGTTCCTCTTCCTACCCCCCACCTCCCTGTCTCACCCCTCTCTCCTCCCTCTTCCTCCTCCTCCTCCTTCTCTTTCCTCCCAGCATGGTCCTCTACTCCTCGGTCCAGCCCCACTCCCTCCAGCACGAAGACGATCTCTGCGACGAGGTCAGGGAGCCTCGATCTATGCATTTGGACGCCAAGAAGAGGAGGACCGATGGTTGAGCTGCTCTCGCTCGCTCTTCTTCCAGGTGCGTTCGCCATGGATGAATGCGCGAGTGAGGACAGTCAGGCCCAGCAGGCTACCTCAGGCTCTTTTCCCTCGGACATCGTTTCTGTTCAGAGGGGCAGCGGTACTGTACCCTGGGAGGTGCCCTCACTCTTTCAAGAACCAGGCACTGCGGCGTTTCCTGGTTACTTCCTACCACGGCCTATTAGATTACAGTCAAGCGCACTGGACGCCACTTCGGGGAGCTCGGATGGACCTCGCCTCTTTCATTGGCCCGCTGAGTTCCCGAGCCTCGCCCCCTCTTTTTGACCGCAGTTTCCGCGGCACTGCGGGACTGGCAGCCTCTCCGTCCTGTTTCCCCTCGGCCTTCTGCTTGTTCCTGCCTTCGACGTGAGTTCCCCCTTCTGTTGCTGCAATTTCAGCAGTCGGGCAGGCTGGTGGCGGACGTGGCAGCGGATGACACAGACCGCGAACGCCACCCAGCTTTGCCCCTGGGATGTCATATGTCCCATAGCGGCTGGCGGCGGAAGTGGCAGTGGATGAAATAGAACACGAGCGCCACCCAGTCCGCTCCCAGGGCACAGGGTGATTTATTCGTTTTCTCGAGGGCTTTCATCTCAAGCTGGCGACTCTCCTCGGGTTTCCCTTGTGGGTGGCGCTGATAGTGAGAAGGCGTCGGTCTTTGTCAACGTGGTTCCGCCGACGGGTGTGGAACTCCGTTTCCTTAGCTAGGCATTGCATTGCACAGTCTCCTGGCAGGCTCAATATGCTACATGTCCCTGCAAGTTGGCGGTCGCGGGGTGGTGCCTCACGTTCGAAGCCATCCTCGCCCGGTGGTGTTTGCAACGTTTCGTGCTGCTGGGCGGGGGCCGTGCGAGCGAGTCTCCGCCCTCCGCCTCCTTTTTTGGGGGGGCACACGCACCCGCCTTTCAGGAGTCCCCCCTGCATTTGAGGGAGTCTCAATCTCCAGGCTGTTGCATGCCAGGCCAGCCTTGGTTTGACCAGTCTGCGTCGACCGCAAATCAAGTGAGCGACTCGGGAGGTGTCCATGTTGCGCCGCGGCTCACGAGGGCACCAGCGCACCTAGCCGAACCCTCTAGTGGAGCTGGAGGCCACAGCCGGTCATTCCTCTGGGACGAGGCGCCGTCCTCCCAGAGCGCATGTTTCGGCAGGCTCGTGGATGTGAAGACATGCCTCCCTCCATGCCTCCCCCCATCTCCCCCCCCGTCCGCCCCCCGTGCACCCCAGAGGCCAGCGCGAACTTGCTGAACGACGTGGCCGAGAAGATGCAGGCGCTGCAGGACAGAGGCCCCCCCGTTGGCCAGCTCCAAGGCGGAAGGGGGGGGGGGCAGCGCCTGCGCCCGGGAGGAGGGAGGTTGGCGGGAGGTGGCCAGGCGTTCCATGGGAAATAATGATACGGCCAGGGACGTCGGGTTAGCGTGTCGCTGCGCCGGTTCTGGCCCACCACGCTTCGGCGCGACACGTTATCCACGCCCCCGTCCGCATTGGTTAATGTCCCGAGCCTTTCCCAGCATCTCGCCCCGCGGAGCGGAGCGACATGCGACGTGTCGCCGGGGCCACCGCGGCGACACGTTTAGCAAACGCTCCTGACCAGAAGGGGGGGGGGATCGATGGCTGGGGCCCAAATGGACCCCCTGCTGCCCCGAAGGTGTACGAAAAGTTGTGGATTTCTTCTCCCCCTCTCGTTTGCCGCCCCCTCGCTCAGCACCGTCCGACGGGGGAGGGGGGGCGAGGACGAAAGGGCAGGATGATGCCGGACGGGGGCGGACCGATGGCAGAGTTGCGTTCCTGGCACGGCGCCCTCGGACGCGCAGCGCGGCCGGAGCGGCAGCCCAGGGCGCGGGAGGGCCGATCCAGCAACCGGGGGGCGCGAGGAGGTGCGGCGGCGGCGGCAGGGGCGGCGCGGCGGCGGCCCCGCGGGCGGCGTGCCAGGGAGGGCCGCGCGCCCGCGCGCCTGCGGGCCTGCGCGGGCGCGGGGCGCGGCGAGGGCGGGCACCGCCGAGGGGGCGGCCGCGCGGGGCGGCCGCAGGCGCCGGGCGGCGGTGGGGCGCGCGGGGGGCGCGAGGACGCGCAGAGCGGCAGGGAGGTCCGCGCGGGCTGCCCGGATCGGCCCTGCACGCCAGGGGCGCGGGGAGGAGGAGGGGGGGGAGGAGGAGGAGGAGGAGGAGGAGGAGGAGGAGGAGGAGGAGGAGGAGGAGGAGGAGGAGGAGGAGGAGGAGGAGGCTCCGAGAAGTTGCAGGCTGGCTCCCGGGAGCAGAAGGACTTCAGAGGAGAAGCCGGCCGGTGGTCGGTGAGCGGCGCAGGTCCACCCTCGCTGCTGCTCCCCGATCGTCGCAGCGAGTTGCTGGGATTTGCAGCGTGTCTGGGAGCGCTTTTCCTCTTCGTTCGCAATGCGTTTGTCGCAAGCCTTTCGGCAGCTCCTTCGATGACGAACGAACAACACACACACACACACACCCATACCCATAGGGGGGTCGTTGGGAGGAGGACTGGCTATGGGTATGGGTGCGGATTGTCGGACCCTGGGGAACGCTCCCGTTCGAGCGAGGACCCCCATCCGACAACACGCACCCATAGCCCTCTCCGACCCCCCTATGGATATGGGTGTGTGTTGTTGGCTCGTCATTCGAAGTTCCTTCATCGAGCTTGCAAGCTCCCCAGACATCCTTTGAAGCGACCTTGCACGCGTGTCGCACAGACTTTCACGCGTTTTGCACTGCGCCGCTTCCCAGGTTTTGGACGCCACCAGTCCGCGCGGGCCTCCGAATGGTCATGTTCAAGCATGCATGTTTTCGTTTGATTCTCAAGGCTACCAAGTCATTAGTCATATAGCTCCTCGCGTTCTTCTTTTCCGTATTCCACTTCTTCATCTCTCTCCTTGTTTGGATGGGTGAGAGGAGGCAAAGAGGGCGACGCGGAGGGACGCGCGCCTGCCCCAGGACGCCCTGGCGCGCGCGCTGGAGCTGCTGGGCCCCTATCTGTTCGAGTCCGCCGTCAGGTCGGCACGGCGGTGTGAACTCGGGTTGCATCTTCGGGGGGCCGCGTCTGTTCGGGCCGAACGAAAGGGTGGGATGGGGAAAGGGGGGTTACGACATCTGCTGCATGCAGCTGGTTTCGGCCCCGTCGACGGGCCTATTCCTCGATACATGGGCGCCTTCCGGCGCCGGGAGGCGCCGGGAAAATCAGCTGCGTGAGCTGATTCTCGAACCCCCCCTCTGCTATCCCCCCCTTTCGCCCAGCCCGATCTGTCCTCAGGGATCAGGGCTGTCTGGTGCCCGACGCGGGCTCGACGCGGATCTGGCGTGGACTCGGCGCGCCCGAAGAGGTCACGCCACAGGATGCGGGGGAGCCCCGGGGGGCACGCGGCAAGCCCCAAGAGATTTTTCGGACATTTGGGTCCAGGCCCATACTGGGCTCCCCAGAACTGAGGACCTCACCACCCACCAAACCACCCCAACCCAACCCGAAGGTCCAAATGTATCCTCGATTTCCAGTGGGGGGGGGGTCGGGGAACGTCGGAAAAACACATGGAACCCGTACCCCCCCCCACCCGAAATTCGAGTCAGATTCGGGTCTTCGGGTTGGGTTGGGGTGGTTTGGTCGGTAGTCAGGACCGAGGCTGAGGGAATCGGGCAAAGGATCTGAGGGCACGCCCACTGTGTGCAGAGCGGCACCGTGGCGGACTTTGCCGTGCGACGCAGCCTCCAGCACATCCCACCATGTGCCGCCGGAATTGCGTTGGCACGTGTCCGGCATTCTCCCAGACCCGCCACAGGCCTCGGCATCCTTTCGTCGGTTGCTCCGGATCTCATATTATGGGGGGTCTAAGGTCCGAGGGGCCTTGTCAACCAAGATTAAGTGGAGGGGTCTCGATTTTGGACCTTTGGTTGCCTCTCTCCGGGGGGTCCACTTCGAGTTGATCCTTCGCCGGAGCGACCTTCGGTGCCAGGCACAGCAGTCACCGCAGCATTGGCCTGCGGGCTGCGATTCAGCCCTTTCCCGCGGCCTCTCTATACGGTCGAGAACCTCTGGGTAGCCTGGCGCTTCGCCGGTTCTGGCCCACCGCGCTTCGGCGCGACACGCCAGCCACTTCCCAGTTCCCACGCTTCCCCGTCGCGAGCCTGTCCGGGCCTCCCGCCCCACGGAGCGGAGCGACGCGCTAGCCGCTCGCAGGGCCCAGCGTGTCGAAGCGCCGACCGGAAAGCCGCGCGCTGAAGGCCACGCCTGCCTCGGGTCGCGCCTGCGTGTGGCCGACTCCTGCATGGGGCGTCTGGGGGAGGGCGTCAGGGATCCCCCCCGCCGCGCCAGGGAGTGTCGCCCAGGAGCTGCTGGAGCCCCCCCCCCTTGGCAGGATGGTCTGGTTGTCGGCGCCCCTTTGTCAGGCGGCCTGCATGGGTCGGGTATGGCCAGGACCCCGGGTAAGGGGACCCAGTTAGTGGTAGGGCCCTGGAGCCTTTGAATTTGCCAGAATCACTAAACCAGGCTTGCCGTAGCTGGTGTTTTTTTTTCGGGTGACGGCAGTTCCGGTTAGTGGAACGGGGCGGGGGGGCGTCCCCCAGTACACATCACTAAACCAGGTCCCACTAATCCCAGTTCTGCCAACGCCGGGGCCGCGGAGGCACCACAGGAAGGGTACAAGGATGTGCGTCTCCCGCCAGCGCTCTGAAGATATACGAGAGCCACGGCATCGCCCCAAGGGCGCACCTCTCAGGCTTGGATCAAAACCACAGGGTAACTCCAGTTTGGGAGGGTTTCCCGACGGACAGGAGGGGAGTGGAGAAGCAGGAGCAGGAGGAGGAGCAGGAGGAAGAGGAGGAGGAGGAGGAGGAGGAGGAGGAGGAGCAGGAGGAGGAGGAGGAGGAGGAGGAGGAGGAGGAGGAGGAGGAGGAGGAGGATGGGGAGGATGGGGAGGGGAGCGGCGGAGAAGGACGGGGAGTGGCGCGGCGAGCGGGGAGCGGAGAGGCGGGCCAGGGTGCGGGGAGTGGCGCGGGGAGAGCGGAGCGCGGCGGGGGCGGACGGCCGATCGGGCGGCGGCGAGGTCGCTGGACGAGACGCTGGAGGACATCCGGAACGGGGAGAAGGAGATGATCGCCGCCTCCAAGGCGGCCTTCCCCCGCCCCCGCCCCCCCTCCCCGCGGCTACTGCGCCCGCCGCGCTACTCGACGGCGCGCCCCCCCCCCCCCCCTCGAAGAGGGGGGCGGCGTGGAGAGCACGAGCCCTCGACGGGCCGCGCGGAGTTCCTGCGTCGGCGCCTGGGCGCTCGGGCGCCGCCCCGGGCGCCGCCCCTTGGGCGCTCCGCGCGCCAGGGAGGGGGGAGGGACTAGGCCGGAGCCGATCCGAGGAGTCCGCGCGGACCTCCGAACGCGTGGAGGTCTAAGGTCGGGCCTGTCTCCCCACAGGAGGAATACTCAGAAACAGTCAAAAGCGCGCAGCGACGCCGACGGCGGCCGCCCCGTGGACGATGAGACCGCCAGTGAGGCCCCGAGTGCAGCGACCACGGGTGCCCTCAGCGGTCATGGAGGCAAGCGCAACATATTATGGGGACGATGTTCTGCCTATTTTTGGGGCATGTTTGGAAAATGTTTGGGGTATGTTTAAGGTTTCGCCCAGAATCCCCGTGTAGGGGGACAGGCCCGACCTGGGTGTAGGCTTATGCCGAGCTTTCTGCCCCACGTGCGCATCCTGGAGACACTTCACCACTGGCACCTGGCTCGCGTCGGTGCCTGTTTTGACTTTGTCCTCCCTCTTCCTCGACCCTCGGCCGTCGTCCTCCCTTCTCCCGATCATAGCTGTCCCCCCGCCCCCGTTCCAGGAGGGTGGGGGGAGCAGAAGGGGGGCATGAGTGAGGGCGGGTGGGTGGATGGGCATGCTGGTGCAGAGGGGGGGCAGACGGGAGAGCGGATGGGCTGGGCAGCGGGGCGGAGGGGGGGAGACGGGAGAGCGTTGGGGGGGGGACAGGCGCAGCGGGCCGGGGGGCTTGATGCGGTGGATGGAAAGACTCACGCGGGAACCGTCGGAGACGCGGTGGCTGGAGCCGTCGGCCAGCCTCTGAAGCAAGGCGTGGAAGCTTTGCAGGCCCAGCCAGGAGGCGGATGGCCAGGGTGTCGCTTGTAGTGTCCACGGCGCTGCCCGCCGCCGTTTTTTTTGTTCCCCCTCTTTCCCTTTTTTTTTTCTCTCTCTCTCTCTCTCCCTCTTGAACGCACAGGGGAGGCGAATGCGGGGCGTGGCGAAGAGCCATTTCGGGCCACTCGCATCCTCCCAGCCTGCCGGACGCCTCGGGAACACCGTGCCCCCCCCCTCGCCCTTCACCCCCGCCCTCCCTCCTTCCGTCCCCTCCTCGTCCGCCGCCTCATCCTCCTCATCCCCCTCATCCTCATCCCCCTCATCCTGCTCTCTCCCGCCATACCTCACTACTGCTCCCTCCGCTCCCTCCTTCATCCTCCCCTACTGCGCCTCCCCTCTTCCTCCTCCTCCTCCCCCTCCTCCTCGTCCTCCTCCTCCTCCTCCTCCTCCTCCTCCTCCTCCTCCTCACCCCCATCGCACCCCCCCAGTTTGGGACATACCCATCCAAACTTGAAGGTAATGACCTATATCCTATACAGCCTGTATCCTCTTTTCTAGGGGGGTAGATCGGCCAGTGGGTCCCAGGCCATGCCCATGGGGATAGGGGTCGGTGGAACGATGCCCACATGCTCACACCCCTCCCAAGGGTCAGGTCCTGCCATGCCTCGCCTGCTCCTTGCCGGCGAGCGCCTGAGGCCAGGCAGCCAGTCGCCTTCCTCCCCTCGCCGACCCGCCACGGCGGCCCGCCGCTGCCGCCGCCAGCCAACGCCGTCGCCAATGACCGACGACCGCGAGGACGTCGCCGAAGTCGACGACGCTGTCGACCACGACATCGACGATGACGTCGACGAGGGCGTCGACGTCGACCTCGTCTCGTCGTCGCCGTCGAAGCCGCGTGTCGGCTCGGCGGCCCCGGTGGCCCGGGGGCCGCCCGCCCGCCGGACCCGCTCGCGCCGCCGCGCGGGGGCTGCCGATGGCACCGGCCGTGGCGGGAAGGGGGCATCGGCCGGGAGGCAGACGAAGGCGGCGACGAAGACGACGACGAAGAGGGCGGAGGCGACGAAGAGGGCGGAGACGGCGGTGACGGCGGCGACGACGGCGTCGAAGACGCCGCCGACGACCACGATGAGGGGGGATAGGGTCAGGAGCGTTTGCTTTTCGTGCCGCGCCGCCGAATCTGGCCCACCGCGTTGCGGAGCGGCCAGCTGAGGAAGTGACGCTTTCCAGCGTCGCAGCCCCTAAGCATCAATTTCCCGGGTTGTTCCAGACATCCCGTCCCACGAGGCAGAGCGACACCCTATCAGCTCATAAGGCAACAGTTTTTGACCGTACAGTCGAGGCGGATTGGTAGGTCGACCCTGCCAAATCAAGGGTGCGTTTGCGTCCTGAGATTGGCGACGCATGCCTTCTACATCCTTATGGCAATGTGGCCCTCGGAAGGGTCTTGTGTCCTCTCGCGTGTCCTCTCCAATCAACCTCGACCCTAGAGGAGAGGGGGCCGAATCATATCAGACTGAATATGCACGAGCCTCTTGAGGTCAACGCGGATTTCTTGAGTCTGCGCGGCACCCCCCTGGCGGCGCCTCAGGCGCCACCGCTGGCGCGCTCCGCGCGCCAGGTAGGGGGTCCAGCGCCGATCCCAAACCCGTGCGGACCTTTGAGAGGTCATGCTTCTGCAGGTGTTTATTCTTCTAGGGAAGGAGGACGAGGAGGAGGAGGAGGAGGCGGAGGAGGAGGAGGAGGAGGAGGAGGAGGAGGATTGAAGCCGACTCTAGGGCATGCACCATTGAGGCCTCTTCCCCTCGTCCCTTGCAGCTTCCGGTCGCGCGTGCGGGCTGGGCTGTCCTTCTCTTGCTTGTCTCTCTGCGTTTGCCAGTTCCGGCTGCGCCAGTGCCGGGCACCTCGTTGCCGATCGCGGGAGAGAAGGGCCGGGCACAGGGCAGCGTCCAGGGGCACGACTCCGAGGCCAACATAATTACCCCGAGAGGCGGACGAAGAGGGCACCTCCAGGGCACGCCGCGGGGTTGGAGCACAGCCCGGCCAGGCAACACGATCGCCGCTTTCCCGCCGCGGCGGAGCGGCCCCTCCGCCCAGCCGGCGGGCTCCGCAGCCCCGGCCCCGGCGGCGACGTGGCGCACTGTCGATCCGCGGAGGCGCCCCGCCAGCACCCTGCGCACGCCGCCGTCGCCGGCCGAGGGGGCCGCCGAGCAGCGACCCGAGAGGCACACGCCTGCGGGGCAGGGCGCGGTCTGCCACGCCGGGGCCGAGCGGTGCGCGCGGAGCGCCCGGGGGCCCAGGGGTCCAACGCATGGACAGACTCAGGACGCAGGCCTTTCGCGGCTCTCAGCCCCTCCAGGGGCCCTCGCCGGCGGGCGGAAAGACCGAGCCTGGGGAACGAGTCGAGACTCCCGGGGGCCCCGCATTTCAGGAGGGGAAAACACACGCAGACACAAGGAATCGTCGATCCCCCTGGAAAATATGGGAAATTGTGGGAAGTGGGGGGGAAGACAGAAGCCTAGAAAGTAGGGGAAGATCGGGGGAGTCCTGCTATCTCTGTGTGTGTATTTCTTTGTGCGTCCTTGGGTCCCTGGAGCATTGAAACAACAACAACGACCTCGGAGCTCTTGGGGGCCAGCGCAGCTCGCCGCCGCAGGGCGCCGCTCTCGCCGTGGCGCCGGCCGGGGTGGCCCGGCCCGCGGCCTCTCCTTCGGATGTGCCGGGCTGCTGCTCGCCCGGGGTTCGGGCCTCGCGGGGCCCTCGCGGAGCGATGCGGCCCGAGGAGCTCGCCGCCGCAGGGCGGGGCAGGCCGAGCCACAGCTGGGGGGAGCCGTGGTCCTTACCCCCCCTGGGGGACCCATCGGTTTCGACACCGTGCTGTCTGGCCTCCTCCTCCTCCTCCTCCTCCTCCTCCTCTTCCTCCTCCTCTTCCTCCTCCTCCTCCTCCCCCTCCTCCTCCTCCTCCTCCTCCTCCTCCTGCTCCTCCTTCTCCTCCTCCTCCCTCTCGAGAGATCGTCGATGCGATGGGTTCCCCCAGGGGGGTAGGGACCACAGCTCCCCCAGTTGTGGCTGGTCGGCGAGGTCTGAGGCTCTGGTGGTGATCTTCTGGCCCATCGCTGCACTTTGTTCCGCGGTGCTGCCAGGAGCCGCAGGCTGAGACTGATGACGACAAGGGTGGGGGTGGACGTACGCAAGGGGAACTGAGGGCATTGCGGACGAGAGTGCGACGATGAGGGTGAGGGGAGCTACTGAGTTGGTAGGGTGAGGATGAGGGCGAAGATGCGGGAAATGATGAGTTTGATGAAGACGAGAGTGAGCGTGCATATGAGACCGAGCATCCGGGTGAGGTATGGATAGCGTGAGCTGGGCCCCGCAAAGCACTGATTCATGTTGTCCTGATGTGTTTCATTCCGGAGTGAGTCTCACGCTTGGCGCATTTCAAGGCGAGACCTGGCAGCACCTGCCAACGCCTACGAGACCCAACGAGAGCCCTGGGAGGCCCCCCAGAGGTTCCTCGATGCCTCCGACGAGCTCTAAAGACAGCCCGAAGAAAGTTCAAGGAGAGCCCCAGGCTGGTTCCAGAGGGGTCTGCCTTCTCTGAACCCGGATGTGCCCCTCCAGGCTGGAGCCTCCGGGCCCCTCACAGACGGCCCAAGAGGACCCCAGGACGGCTCCAGCATGGCCTCGAGATGCCGCGAGAAGCCCCCGTGATGATCTCCCAGCACCCGGTATGTCTGGTTCAGTGACATTTGGTTTGGTGCCTTGGCTCTCTGCTTCTCCCTCGTCGTGAACGAACTCGTTGGCAGCGAGACGTTTGGCGACTGGTGCGCGCTGCCTGGATGCGGTGGGAGTGGAGGCGGCAGAGGGAACGGATGCAGGAGAGCAGAGGTCAGGCGGGCGAAGAGCAGAGCATGGGTCAGGGACGCGAGGGGGGGCAGGGCAGGGAGGAGAGGGAGCGGAGCGAGAAGCCAGGGGCTCATGACGAGGAAGTCGTCCTGGGGGAAGGCCCCAGGGTTAAGTCGGGCCTGTCCCTCTACAGGGG